ATATATATAAGAGGCCATTTAACTTGCAGACAGCTCTTAAATGGTAAGGTAGCTCATTATCAAATAGCTGTTAGCTGGTGCTAATGACTGGTTAAAGCGCCTTACAGCTATTAATTTGGTCTTGCAGATGCAAATTCAGTGCTCAAAAAGGCGTCCAAGTTTCCTCCATGCTGCCTGTGACCAGTAAATACCTCCAAACAACAATTAACAATGCTGAAAGCTTCTAGGGAACTCATTTGATCTGAACTTTGTTATTAATAACTGAACACAAAGCTTTTATTCTGAGGGAAACCATAAGGTCAGACAGTACAGTGTATAAACAGTGTATGATGTGATTAAGTATTTTACATGAAAATGAGCTTGACCCTTCTCTGTGTTTCTGGATCAGTTTGACAATAAATGGATCAAATATGACTTTTCATATATAATTAGTATGCTAATATCCATAATCTTTTGTTTTCTACTGTCTTCAGAAAAAAAAATGACACACTGTCCTCTATCCTCTTATCAAACTGGTATCTGCTGTTCATTTGCTAAAATGCCATCATTATGCTTGTAACGTCATCTTTTCTCTCCTCCACTTATGTGCTATCATTTTTGTTCGTGCGTACTTCAAGCTCATTTTATCATCTTTGCCTCAAACCTCCTCCTGTTTCATTTCATTCTTCTCTTTTGCCTTTTCCCATCTTTATCAGAGGCTACGCTGACACGCCAGCCTGCCCCGACTTATTTGATTTCTTTCTAGTCCGTTCTTCATCTCTGTCCTCTGTTGCTGCTCTGTCCTTTAACTCTTTGTCCTTCAAAATGAATTGCATTCTCTAGTCTCCCTTGTCTTTTTCCCATCTCTGCACTCCAACGTCCAAAACCTTTTCTCTCTACCCTTTTACCTTCTCGCTTCTGTGTTTGCTTGGAAAATGCATCCTGAGAATTTTCATCGCCTTACTATCAGCCTCTGATATAGTTGAGGAGAAGTAAAGCCACCAAGTGCAAACAAGTAGCCATTACTGACACACTCAACACAGTTGGTTTGTCTCTGAGACATAAGACACACTTACTTTTTGCAATCTTTCAAGTCGAACAGAACCCTTCATGATGCGATTTTTGTTTTGTTTTCCTTCACTGGAGATCTTTCTGTCTGTTTACAAGGGAAATGGGTATCCAGATTATCACTCCAGATATGCTCATGCGTTCATTTTTCACAAACACTGACATTTAGAGTGACGCAGCTGAATATTTTTGGGTGCTCTCACGTAGCAGTGCTGCATCTGCCTGCATATGTGGCTGCAATCTGTCAAGAAAGTGCCATAGACAGCAAGCTTTTTATTAATGAGAATTTGCCCTACATAAAAAGCCTTGAGAAAACATGATAAGGTCATTAAGAAAACAAGCTTGACATTTTAGAAAATATGCATATTAGTAATCTCTTCTAAGGCGGAGATTTATACCACGCTCGAGTTTGAAAAATCAATATGCAGCTAGAACAAGGAGACCTTGAACTTGGATGAAACAGCTAGCATGGGCCTGTGTCAAGATGTAAAAGCGATAACAATCAACCCAGAAACACAGATTTCTTTTTTACTCAAGCATT